GGTCGCAAGTGTGTTGCAGAAACTATTAGTGTTAGTTCGCAATAAGAGCAACACAACAAAATTAATATCGATCCTTATTGAAAGCAACGAGACGACATAAATAAAATTCAGTTTTAAATTGCCTCACAAAGTTTAGTAACCTTAGACGCACCTCAACGCCAAACTCGTGCACAAAATATGCGAGGTATTTGAAAGCTACTTTTGTAGAGATATACGCTAGCCAAAAGTTATTTGGCTGCGTCAGAATATTTGCTTTCCATGCTAGATAGTTTGTTTGGCTGAAAGTTTGTCGTCAGATTTTAAATGGCCCGCCAAATACACAGAAAAACTTGTTGGAGATAAATGCCAGACAAACTTTGCAATTCTAAATTGCATTGAAGACGTGACCAATTTACCTTATCTAGAGAACAATCTTAAGCCCATGAACTGTGAGAGAAATATGCACTGACTTTACTTTAAAAATGGTTTTCAATCAATTCAACATATCACGTATACGCCATGTCAACTTTTATGGTGAAAAGTCGGTAGCTAAGTATTTAATGGGAATTTGCAGTTAAACGTAATGTGGATGTCTCACAACGAAAGTTAAATTTATTAAATTCACGAATATACACATAAATAGATAATATCCAGCTTAAAGACTAACAAGTGTCGCTGTCCGACCCAGTACCCGCCCACGAGAATCACACGCCCATCCACGAAAAGCTCAATGCTATGCATTTAAAATTGGACAACTAACACCACAACCAGCCACAGACCGAAGCCAATTTACGGTCTGATGGTATGTCGCAGGTAACGCAAACCCAGCACCATGGCCAGGGGAAAAATACTGCTCCTGATCCAGGCGATGCGCACTGAATGCGCACAAATGTCCTCCAGATGGCGACAGTTGCTGAAGTGCTTCTCATCCGACAACATTTTAGCGGTTTCGCGTGCAAACTCCGCCGAGTGCTTGTAGCATTTGTACCGTGCGCTATTGTAGATGCAATTCTCGTATGCGTAACGTGCACTGGAAGCAAGTGGCCAACAATTATTTCCCATCAGGCAATCCAAGGCTGAGATATTCAGCAGATGCTTACCAACAAAATTCCATGAATTTATCGCTAACATTGCGTGTGCTGTCGTGCAAATCATCTGTGAGTATGTTCTCAAAGTCCGTGGTGCAGCTTATCCAATCCACCTGTATATGTGTAAAGCAATCCTTGTGCCGCAGATAATCTGCAAGTGCAACATGGTTAAGAATAACTATTGCTATATAAACCTATTCACTTAGACTAACAAACATGCAGCTTAGACTATAACTAATTAGGTCCTTGATGATAAGATCGTTAAAATTCTAAGCTAGGTATTAACTATTTATTATGCCCTCTACTTGATATCGAGCGAGAATCTCAACTTTCAGTTTCTTGTTTAAGAAATGTTTAAAACTGAAAGCGACAAAAATAAAATACAAACAAAATGGGAGACAAGAATGAACAAAAAGTTTGGTTAAAAACATGTTTTGTTATCTAAAATAATATTTTTGCACTATTTTAAGTAATAATAAAAATGTTAATATGCACATTAATAAACTGAAGGTGACATAAGTTCGATAATTAAGTTTGGTTTTGCAGCAATATATAGAAAAAACATTCGTGGTAAATTAAATGTATACATATGTAACAATGTATTATTCTTAAAGTTAGCCAAGTGCAGATAAGTTGATGTGTTGGTTGGACACCCTTACCTCGCTGAAAGTCCTCGTCGGCACAAAACTTTTTGAAAAACTTTCGAGCGCCATCGACATTATTTTTAAACAAGTTGAGCTTTCGATTCTGTAGACAACGGGCTGAATAGGCATCAAAACATTTCATGCCACGGTTGAAAACCCTATAAATAAATTTGAATATTCATTATGCATATTTTATAAAGGTTTAATTTTAATTTATTAAAGGTCCATTAAAGTTTTTATGGACTTGGGTTTATTGTTTTATAAGAAACTTAAAAAAGTTATTAACTTGGATCTATTTTTTTTTTCTTATTTAATACCGTTGAAGCAGCTTTTGTCCTTATTAAATTTTAATTGGTGATCAAATTACAATGCTGCCTTCATAAATTGGGTTCCGCTCGCCAAATTAGGTTTTTCACGAAAATCAATATCGCCCATTACCGTGCTTATGCGAGACATAAGTAAAAAGTTTGTATTTATTTTCAACTTTGTTGTTCTTCTTGATTATTTGACACGATACTTAGCTTTAAGGGAGTCCAAAGTGAACCCTTTTAATCAAGGCAAAAACTTTGCGCACTTGGCCCAAGTTTGATAGAAAGGCCAGTAAGAACACTTATTAATTATGAACTCTTAGTATCTTTAGAGAGACGCTGCATCTGAGCGGCTAATCAATAATGTATTTCACTTAATGCTCCTGGCCAGGGATTTTTTTTTAGAGACAGTCACACGTTACATAGGCACTTTATGAGCTTATCTTGCGTGAATTTGAAATTCCGGCTAGACTTACTTGCACTTGGCAATGATCTCTTGCTTGCTGACGACAATCTTGGTATTCTGCAAAAACTCCATTAGGTGTGGCGGCAAATCCTTGAAGCATTCGTCAACCATCCTTTGTGTGCTGCCGCACTTATCCACATGAGCCAGAGCCGGCGGCTGCTGCTGCTGGGTTTCATTTAGTAAATCTGCCATGGCAACAAGCAGCATGCCACACCACAAAACTGATACAAATACTTTGCCGTGGTACATTATCGTCCTCTCTTGAATACACTTGTTGCTACGAGACTTTATTTTTTATGACGTTGTATGAATGAATCGAGTCCCGTACGCTTTTCGTCCTTGCGATTCGTCTGCTACCAAAGAACTGAGCCGGATTGGTCAATTCCATCTATTTTTAAGGCTCGCTAACAGAGCGCTGTTAAGTCGCTGTTAAATTGCTGATAAATACAGCGCATGCACCTTGGCGCCTGTTGCACGGGCTCCTCGGTTTGTTTACAATAAAAATGCGAGTCCACAGGCCTTTTTTCTCTAAGTGGAGAAGCTTACTCTACGCATAATTAAGTATTCGCAGTTTTAAATTGGGGCTTTTTATTAAATGATTATTTTTGCTGAAATGAAAAAATGCGAATATGTTTTCAATTTTTTGAGTGTTTACCATTTTTTAAATAAATAAATAAATAAATAAATATTTATTTAATATAAATAAAATAAAACTGAAAACATCTTAATTACTTGTGACAAGGACAAATATAAAAAAAAAACAACAATAATATAGCAAATTAACTTAGTCCGATTTTTTTCATTTGAAATCTTAATTCCGAACCCCAGAAGTGGATTTTGATAACGGGTTGGCGAAGCCCCGCTTGATGAGACAGACTTTGCCGCACATTACTGACCGGATTTATGTTTTGACATGGCCTTTTCGAAAAGGTCAGTCTGCACCACCGCAAAACAACGATGACGGGCCCGCAGCACATATGCAGGAGCATAAGATAGCTGAAAACGACATTGATATTCATTTCATTCAACAGGACTATGATGACTTCTGTGTGCCTACGGACTGAACATATGGTTTACGGCCTACTGAAAGTAACGCATACTATTAATTAACTGACTACCAGGCTGCACTTGGTGTACAAATTCAAGAGGGTTTTCAACGCAAGACATTAATTAAAAAGCTCATTTTGATTATTAATTTTTTTAAAAGGAAGCCTGAGTTTTGTTGAGTAAAAACTTGCGATACTTACCTGAATTAGGTTACCAACAAAAATTTGTATACTTATTTAAATCATGAAAATTTCTTTCAGGCTTATGCGATTCCTGCTAAGTCTGACTGAACTTTTCGCAGTCAAAACTTTTCTTGATTTTCTTAAGCTACATTTTGCCTTTATTTTGGCAGCAGACTTTAAAAGCATCAATGCTTTAAAACTGGTTTTGCTTTAGCCTTGCGCTGTGCTATCGTATGTGAATATGCAATCAATTTTGAAATAATAATACCATTGTTTATAGGCAAACCAGGTCTCAGTTGCATGCCGTATTTAAATTCAGGCGGTGAATCCTGCAAAAACAGAACAATTCTGCCGAATGTAACCCAGTGCGTACAATTAGGAGCATACAGAGCACATGTACAAGTTCTCGTGATTTCATTTGGCGTACGAATGCCTCTATTGTTTCATAGTTAGGCAGCATGCATGTGGGCGAGCTTCTCCATGGCCATATCCGTGCATATTTCATAGAACTCTCAATAATTCTGTACTGCATTATTGAGTCGCAACACAGTTCATATCACTGTTGACAAATGGTATTTTGTTATGCTGGACAACAACTCGATAGCACAGGCCTGTACGGGCCTAATTATCAGGCGATGCATGACAAAAATTTCAATCAATTGGCATTACAATGCGGGGCATTAAAATGTTTTTGTTTTTTTCTTTTTAGTTTTTTATAAACATTTATTTTATGCAAAAACTTGTACATAATTTAGTTTGATTTTATTACAGTTGTGTATATATGTATTTATTATTTGAACATATGTGGATAGATTTGCAAGATTTCAATGAATTTGCAATTTGTGTTTTATATTTGATGTTTTAAATTTAAATGAATGAATATTGTTTGAAATAAATTTTTCCCAATAACACAATACATACAACATTGAAATTTTTGCAATGTGCTTAAGCTTATTACTATGCACTATATGGTATATGTATATATAGTAGCTTTATTAAATTACTCACAATCATCAATTGAATTGAATTTCGAAATCGAACACGAAACCAAAATATCATCGAGAAGATTTGTTTTAGGCAGCACACCAAAAGATTTGACAATTTTGGCGGTGCTCATTGCTACGATTGCACGATTGCCGTTACTAAACATAAATATTATTTAAAATCGTATCTTCATTAAATACTTTTTCTTTAAATTATTTAATTTGTTGTAAGTATTGAGTATGTCGCTTCACATATTTATATTTCATATTATAATTTCATAATGTTGTGGCTGCTGCCTGTGATTTTTGCCACTTCTCCTTATTTCATTTACTCATTCATTTTTTTGTTTTTTTTTTTATTTATTTATTTAATTTTTTTTATGTTTTTTGATTTGTGCCGCTATAAAATTAATTTAACATTTAACTTAGATGCAATATGTTTGAAAGGCACACTAATTACATATTTGTTTCAATTGGTTTATTTAAATTTAGCTTCGTTAAAAGCCCAGCTGCATTTAAGAAAATTCTTTAATTTAAAATAAAACGTAGCCGTCTTTCTTTTGTACCATAATTTAAATGCAATTTCATTTTTATTTTTCTCTTTATGTTTAATAATATATGCATTTTGTTTTTAATCGCATACAGATATGATAGTTAGCTGTTAATGGGTCTAATGTGCTAAGAGTTCGCGCTTTAAAAAAAATATATAAATAAATATATAGAAAAAATGTACATAATCTTGCGTTTTATAACTTCTAACATTTATTTTAAATTAAAGAATTTCGGATGTGTTGTATATGCGGTATTTTGGTCAAAAATCTTTTACTCATCATGATTTATTTATTTAACATTGTTTTTTTCTTTCTGGTGTATAATACATTGTGCTTGAGCTCAATATTAACACTAGACATTAAAATTATTTAGGTTTTACTTGTACATTATTAATGAATGATATTCGTTACTTTTCATTAACTAAATATGGCTGTTACTTTTATTTTGTATTATTTAATAAGCACACGCGCTCACAATCAGCGCGATATATATACCTAATATTGATGTGTGTGTGTGTGTATGTGGGTGTAGAAAGAATATAACATAATCATAATCGAAATACTTCATTAACAAAGAATTTGCGTCAATTTAACAAAAATATACTCGCGTGCTGAATATTTTGTTATAATCTTAAATATTATCAGAGCATACAACAACTAATTGCCGCCTAATGAGTGGATGTGCGTCTGTGTGTGTGCGTGGGTGTGATTACATTTTAATTACACAGATAAAACAATTGTTTATGCTTAAAAAACTATAAAAAAGATTCTCCATCGTGTTGTTTGAAAAAAATACAATGTTATAAGAAACGTTTTGCAGATGAGATTCGGTAAATGATATTCTCTTTTTTGTTTTGTTTGTTTTTTTTTTTATAAACAAATAGATATTTGTTATATGCATAATGGGTGTATGCACGAGACTGCAGTTTAATTAAGTAATTTTTGTTCGCTGAACTTTTCACTATGTACTATAACTTATAAGTTGTTAATAGATAATAATTATGTGTGTTCTTTTCTCCTTCGTTTACTTTTATTAATTTAATCTAGAAACTATGTTTGATTTGTTATTGTAATTGTTTGTTTCGTTTTGTTTGCTGGCTGGCAAAACGCAACAGAAATGGCCACAAGATTCAATACATTATTTTCTGCTTCTTCTTGCTGTTGTTGTTGTTGTTGTTGTTGTTTGCAGTCGCAGATGCTGCTGATGCATTGAGATGAGTGCTGCAGGCGCAAGCAACAGGCCACAGACTTTGAGTGGATATGTTTTTATAGAGCATATGCATGCGTTCTTTTATGTTGTGCGTGTGTGGTGTGAGTTGTGTGTTATTTTAGTAGTTGTCAGTGACAAGTGGGTCTTGCACAACTTGCAATTAGCATTTCACATTCCATACAAAATGGCACACAGTGCTAAGAGTTACTACCATTGCCACACTGCTCCCGCTTCCGTTTCTGCTCCCACAGCTGGTCCTCTTATTGTTGATCTTAGTACATCATATGCGAATCTCTTGCTGCTGCTTCCTGGCTGTGTCTCAATTGTAGGTGCATCTATCGCATCTATCCAAAATGCAGGCGGCAGACGGCAGGCGTTAGGCATTTTATTATAAATTTTGTGGTTTTTGTGTTTTTTTTTTTATGCATTTTTTAATGTGTATTTGAGATGTTTTGTTGGCAGATTTTGGTTTAGATTTGTATATATATTTTTTTTTTGGTTAGCATGTAAATAAAAGAAGTCATAGAAATGGAAATTGAGTTTTAATAAATGGTTAGCAGTTAGTTATATCGTTTTTTTTTTCGTAAAATACCTAGCAAAAAAAAACATAGATGTTTTAATATGCGAATTATGAGCACAAAAAGTTACTAAATGAAAGCGGGCATATATTATGTATGTATGTACTTGTCTTTAAATGTGGAACAATAAATAGATAATTAAGAGCAGGGCACACGACATGCAGGCCAAGATTTCAATACCTCACAGACTTTTAGTAACTTTTTACTTCGAATATACAAACTAATAAAAAAAATTAATTAAATAAAAAAAAGGTGCGTTTGTACTTAAAAACACTCTTCGAGTTGAAAAGGACAAACACATACGCAATAAAAATCGTAGACAGTGCAAATCTAAGTGTTTGAAATTTTTAATACGTTATTAAAGAAACATTTAATGGTTATTAAAGTCGCTTAAGGAATTTGTCGAGTAATTTACAAAACAACGTAAAAGTTTTTTATTTATTTACTAGTTTTTATTTTTATTTTTTCGTTTTTTTGTGTTTTTGTTTGTTTTGTTTTTACTTTTGATTTCTTTGTTTAGTTAACTTGGCCTTTGGTTAGTTAAAATTAGCAATAATATTACATCACATATCATTTGATATTTATATGGTTTTTATACATATGTAAATGCTATAGAGTATCAAATTTAAAGATTAGAGAAAATATAAAAAATAAAATTGCAGGTGCATTGGCTGTCAATTTTTTAAATAATAAATTGTTCGAAAAATGCCAAGGTAAAGCGTTATTTACATTTGTTTTTTTTTTTAATAATTGTTTATACATAATAAAATGGTGTGTTTTTGGTTTCTTGTTTAGCATCAGCCAAAGGGAGTTTTTTCTTTTGCATATCACGAGTTAATTTTGATTTTTTTTAATCTCATAATCAGACATTCTTCAGCATGGCATTAGAACCAATTTAGTAATTGTATTTGTATAGGTCTGTATACGAGTTGATTGTGTACATGTATATGTGTTCAGTTCTGTGTGTGCGTGTGTGTTTTTGTTTGTTTTGTGTTACAGGAGTTGTAAGCAAATGCATATGCAATTTTATAAAACGTTACACAAATATTTCATCTTACTATGCTAGAGAGATATTAAACATATGTATTACTGATACCAGAACCGTTAAGCTTATAAATTAAGTCTGTTAAATACACATCAAGATAGTTTACGTATATAAAATGTATATGCGGTAGTAGGTGGAGATTGTTTTTTGCTTTATTTAAAGATTAAACTGTTTCTGGCGCAACATTTGCATATTGTTTATTAATTAATACTAGAGTGTGCGTGTAATTATGTACGAGTATAGAAGTGAGACAGACGTTAAGCACAGAGTTATGCCCCGGACTAGTATGTGGTAGTGGTTGGTGTTGGTGGTGGTGGTGGTTTTGGTAGTAGTAGTAGTAATAGTAGTACATCAGGCCCCACGCTGGCTAGGATTGTGCGTACACAGAGCTTACAGCTAAAGTTAAGTTCTTAAGTTAGGGCACTAGAGTTGCAAACAAAAGTTAAGTGTTTTAATTTTTTTCATTTTCTTGATTATAATATGCATTTCTTCTTCTTTATGGTGATCAATGAGTTATGTGAGACGAAGTAGGAAGTGTTTTGGTTAAGTTCAGAAAGCGTTAGATTAAAACGACTGAAGAGTTTTACGCATACCCAGAGGGCATTCACGGCTCGAAGTAGAAGTGAAATTATAAGACTTGTTATACTTTTTTTTGTTGTTGTTTGTTGGTTTTGTTTTTTGTGTTCGGGTTGCACTTCAACAAAAGTCATTGATCTTTATTCTGGTACACTTTCGGTTCAATTGCAACATACATTTTAAATGATATACAAGGTAAACACTACAGACTAACAGGGCCTTAAAATCTAAATACACATATAAAATTCATAATAGATAATATAATAATAAAAATAATTATATATGGCTTAAGAAAAAGTAATACAAAAAGTACTAAATTGCTTTTACTTTCGAGTTTGCAGTAGAAATTGATTTTCGAATTTCTTACCCATATCTTCTTTTTTTTTCTTTTTTTTATCTCATTTAATTTTTTTATTCTTTTCGTTTTTGTAAAACATCAAAGGCACAAGTCAACGTCGTCAACAAAGAAATAAAATAAACTAACAAAAATATAAAAACAACGTAATTTTTTTTATATCGTTTAGCAGCTTTAAGCGGCTTTTCTTGTCTATTGCACTAACATTTTCAGCATGTGTCTGTCTGTGTTGATGTTGCAAAATGTGTTTTTCAATTTTCATTTTATTTTATGTTTTTCTGTGAGTGTTGGTAAATGTATCAAAACTCGCATGTGAAGTGCAATTACCATTGTCAGAATAGCGATTGCTCTTCACATGAAACAAATAAATGTAATAAAAACAATTTTTTTAAAAAATGAGTAGAAACACAACTAACCTGTGAGGCGCTTGTTTTATTTATTGGACAGAATTAACTGAGTTACGGAGCTGCACAGACCGGCCTGGCCAACTGGACTGGCTGGGTTTCATTGTGCACACAGCAGGGCACCAGCAATTGATACAAGAGATTCTTCTTTTTATAAAGAACAGTTTTTGAAAACAAATTGAATAAAGTAAATTTGATATAGATGCAGAATGCAAAACAAATAAATACAAAATCGTTAGCATAATTGAACTAAATTGAATAATGCCCAGTTTGAACATAATGGCGGGCTTAGATTAAATAAACCACATAATTGTTTGGAAGTTGAACGATAACACTCATCGTTAACTTCTTTAACATTGTGAGAAAAAATGTAAAAATTTGCTTTTGATAAATACAAAAAAATTGGTTTTGGATAAACGTTTTTGTTTCGTGAATTGAAACGAAATTCATTTATTGCTGTTGTTTGCTATATTGTGCGTTTACTGTATCTCAATGAAACCCGCCGGCTTGGCTGGCACTCCGACCGTTGTACGCTGATATGGGTGTTCTCTGTTAGCTGCCAAACGACGTTGCTGCTTAAGGGCGCCTACTAAAATATACGATACGATACATGTAGATATGTGCATATAAAGTAATATATATGTATATGTGTGTATATATTGGTATATGGATTATATATATATAAAATTCAAGCCAATAAATATATATATATACATAGAGGCATATATGTATATATGTATATTGTCTACAAAACTTATATATAGTAATAAGAAGAAATATATATATATTTATGCTTGCTCTTTGCTTTTGTTTTAAACAATACACAATAATTTTCCTTTCGCTGCGGTTGGAACACTGACACTGTTTGTTTTGCTAATTACCAATTTCATTATTTAAAACAAAACAAAATTATTTAAAGAATACAAAAAGTTTTTAATATTTATGTAACTGCAATTGCATGTTGGTTTACATTTAAATTCTGTTTCTTTGGAATGAGTCGTATATATTGCATATTGTTTGGTACTGGGATATCGTCAACAAAATAAGTGATCTTTAAGCAGCTCAAACTAGCCTAAAATATATCTAACAACTATTTGTTTATATTTGTTTATATTTGTGTATATATAAGTATGTTATATGCGTTTTTCTTTTTTATAACTTTAGTGTAAGAGTTCTTTAGCATTCTTCCAGCTGTCTATCTCAGTGTCCGTCTGTTTGATCTGTCTGTCAAACATTTGATGCTCGCTTTTGCTGACTAGTTGTGCAAATAATTGTTGGACGGCTGCCTGAACCTCAACTAACTTAAGTCTACAAATGTTTAAGCACCAAAACGATTCAAGGCTCCATATAAATATGATTATTGATATATATGCGTATATATATTTCTTTCTATCTTTTATTAAAATGCTACAAAAGGTGAGGCTGTTGCTAATTGCTCAAAATGGCACTGGCTGGAAAAAAATCAAACGGTACGGAAAGCAAATGTAAAACTTGAACTTGTCGTAAGGTACATTTGTGCATAAATACTGAGCTTAATTGCTACACAAAACTAATTAGCTATCAGCTAAAGATTGCACTTAAATAGAATTGAAAACACAACAAAAAAAAATTTTAAGAAAATAAAATCAAATAAACAGTAACCTACACCGCAATAAACAAAATAAATCAAAAAAGAAAGGAAATAAATAAAGTTATTTAAGACCTAACCGTATGTATTGTACATATATAGAAAACTAGAAAACACAGACAATAATAAATACACTACTTAAAGGCTAAATAACTCTCAGCAACTTTGTTGAAGGCTTTAAGTAATATAAGTATGTATGTATGTAAGTAGAATACTCATTGTTCCCAAACAACAACTAACTAATTGCGCCGGCAGTTGCTGTCATTGTTGTCTCTGCTGAATTGTTGTTGTTGTTGTCAACTAGAATATACTCATGTTCAAAAGTAGATAATTTGAAATTGGTTAAAGAGCTCCAAAACAAAAATAAAAAATCTTAAAAAAAATAAAAAGACTAATCTGCGCCTAAGCGCCTAAAAATCACTCATTTGCTAATCGCCAGTTGCCAGTTTGTAGAAATGTTTGCGACCTATGAACTAACAAAAACTTTGACGAGCAATAATCATTATTACTTATGTAAATTTTTTTTGTTTTTTTTTTTTCGATATATTCTGTTGTTTTAGTTTTTTGTTGGTTTGCTTTCAATGAAGCTGCAGTTTTGTATTTGAGTATTTGTTGTTGTTGTTGTTCTTGTTGTGCTGTTTTGCATTTGTTGTTGCTAAATAAATATATATGTATATATGTATGTATACATGTATGTATATATTCTATAATTAAATATGTAGTATACTACGTTCAATATGTTTAAGTATGTTCTGTGTTGTACACTCTGTCAACGGCAGACTCTTTTTTTAACTGGAACTAAAACTAACAATTTATGGACTTCAATAAATTCTTGGTGCACTCAAACAAAAAAAAGTTCAAAAGACGGAGCCGGCATGCATATATCGACCAACTGTAAATATTTGTTTATATCAGATTTCAGATAAAAAATTATTTGTCAAAAATAAAGGAAATTCAAGAAAATATTAATATTATATTAAACAAAATCATGTGTTAAGAAACTTTTCGTTAGCTGTGAGGAGCGGCATGCAAAATATATGAAGCAAGCGATGCCAAGGGTTAAAAGCGTGCACTAATAAAATTTGTGTAGCATACTTTATGGCACTGTAGAAATAATAAATCAAATCATAACAAGAAGAATGTACTTCGATTAGCCGAAGCTTGAATACCCTTACAGTTCTGTTAGGCAAATATTTGTGCTTATGGAAACTAGATAATACCCTTTTTATAGTCTCTTCAAATCTAAAAAAGTGCAAAACTATAAAGTATAGTTTTTTGGTATTGGTTCTAAAAGGCAAAAAAATTGCACTAATATATTTGTAAAGCATAGTAAATAGTTTTCAGACAGATAGTCGGACTCATATGGCTACATCTTATTAAGATTTTATATATATTACAAATTTGATTACGACTTCGATGTCCTCTGCAAGGGTATTTTAATAAATGCGCTTGTGAATACAATTTAATAAGCTTGGAATTGAATTATAAAAGAAATTATAAATTTAATGCCAAAATACTACTTGCTCTGGGTTAATATATATATAAAACAAAATGCTGCCTAAAAAACTGATATTTCAACTGGGCGTATGTGTAATGTGCCTAAGTTTCTGGGGTATTCTCAATAGAACTGTCAACGTGTAAATTATTTAAATAGCTTGCAAAGTTAAAGCGTTAACAGATCAAACAAGGAAAACCCCCAAAATGTATGGTGTAAGTTTTTGTAAGTGTTGTAAGTAAGTATTATTGCTCGCAGTTTGGATCGATAGCAAAAGTTAAAAACTTGGCTAACCATAACTGAACTGATCGAAGACTCGCCTTATAAACTGGCTTATTAGATGTTCATATTTGTTTTTGTTTATCGTTTTTGGTTTTTTGGTGTAATTTCAAAATGATGTGTGTGCATGTGTTTGCTGGTGTCAACAGTTATGGCGCATATAGTTAAGAGTATATCGAATCAATATTTAGCTGATCGAAAATCATAATTTGTAGTTATAGATTATAGATTGTACGTATGTATATATGATTTTTTTTTTTAAATATATATGTATATGTATTAAGTAGTTTATCTAGCAAACAACCCACCGCTATGATCTGCATATTCCGTCAGCAGAGGATTGCCGGCCAGTGCAGCATAGTTCGCGTAGTCACCATACGGCGCAAAGATCATGCCATGGGCGGTCTGATCGAAGGCACCTGTCGGCGCTGCCTGGGCGGACAGTATGCTGGCCGCTGAGGTGGGCACTGTCATGCGTGGATTAAGTATCAAGGGTGCGCCCAGCGGTGCATTGGCGGGTGAACGTAGCTGTGTAGCCAATCCGGACAGTGTGGGCGTCAGCAGGCGACTATCCGATGCAGCAACCAAACGGCGCCAGTCCTCTTCGCACACTGCGGGATACAGAACAGAAGCAGAAGGAGAACCAACGCATGAGAAAGCTGTCCGTATAGAAAATCCATGTAAATTCAAAGAAAACATATTCATTATATCATTATTGGTTAGACGTATTAGATGGCTCGATTTGCATTCGCTTTCGATATATATGCAGTTCTTATTGCTAGCAGGAGCCGGATGGTATTTTTGTTTTATTTTTTTTTTTAGTCAATACTGGGATTAGCTGTTGATATTAGACGAAAGTTTCTCTTTTCTGTTTATGTATGAGTCGATTAAAGATGTAAAGATTTTTTATGTTTTCTTATAGGTTGATAAACGTACCTGCGACTGATTTCGCTGTTGTGTCCCTATAAGTGCCGTTAATAATGGCTAGTTCCATAAGTTGACGTTTCTTTAGCTCATCTTCGCCTTCGGCTTGCTGTTAGTACAAGTTGGCGCACGCATGTGTGTTGAGTGTATTTGTTGTGTTTGTGTGTGTAGTGTGTGAAGTAGTAGTAGTAGATTTTTCCAATGTATTAATCAAAATACATCAAAGCATATTAGATTGGTAAAAGAAATGAAAATATAAAAAAAATCATTATTAATATTTTGGTTAACAATTTTAGCAAAGATATTTTATATTTATTTATTTATTTTATACAGATAGATAGATACAGCAAACGCAATTGTTTATCGCACACATTTTTAAATAGTGATTGATTTATTAAAGGGGGTGATTGGCATTAAATGCATGCCAAAATTTTAAATGATATTCATTTTACACCTTGTGTAGGCTTATGAGTTATTGTTTGTGTTTCGTATATTAAATTGATTTAATTTGATTTTATTTAATTGTTGACGTATGGTATATTTATACTATAGCTATTACTTATTGACTTACCGGCACGAGCAACTTTTGCACTTCAGCTACAGCTTGAGCCAGTTTGACTTTGGCGCGATTCTCTGTATCCTCAACAGTGATCAGGACATGCAGATCATCGGACAAGTGCTCCCAGTTCGGTTTACCACGATTGGCATCCTCCTAATGGAAGAAATTCGAGAATGTAATATAAATACTTGACTCTGTTAAATTATCTGTGAAGCTACAATGGGAGGCTTAAGGAGACCTTATTAAAATATGTTATAACTAAGCAGAGCTTGTACTTGTTCTGCAAAATGGTTTCTTGACAACTCTTTTCTCTATTCCTTCCTTTAAAAAGCTTAAGTTCCGGTTTAAAAGTTTGCACTTATACTTTTCTATATTATCAGCAGAGCTACTTGAATATTCGTACATATTTTTAGTGCTTCTTCACCGCAAACTCAACCACAACCACAAGCTGCAACAGTTTATTGGTGATGCGCGTAATAACAGAACCCGCCAAACGTGAATGCCAATAAAATCGCGTTCCGCACCGCCCTCCCGCATATACCCTCTCTCTCTCTCTCTGGTATTTTTATTGCGAGGCAATAAACAAAAAGGGTGGTGGGGAATGCTTAGAAAATTTCGTTGTAAGACGACATTTCGTAGCGCATGTTTTCTAATGGCCGCAAACAATTAAATGTGGGCGTAACGCTGCGCCACACAGAATGCATTTTTGTAATTTGAAAATTCTGCTGAAGCTGTTACTTTTCGGCCACGCCAAATGCCCGCAGCCACTTTTCGCTGTCACGCTCGAAATATGTACTTAATATTTATAATGCATGCATGGCCCAAGGCTCTGCGCAGCGCATTAACTTTTGACCCAAAATGTGAAAGAAAGCAAAAAATAAAACAGCTTATATATATATTGTCATGTTTAAATAGAAATTCTTGGATTTGCTAATCAATTAAGCTCAAAATGTCAGACGAACTGTCAGTTTAGTTAGCTTTTGAAGTTGCCCCATCAGTGTCCAGTGAGAGCAGCGCTGCCTGGCTAATTCCGCCACCACTTGTCAAATTAAAAACTGTCAGGCAGGCAACGAGCCACGTTGGTGGAATAGCGTTTTTCGCGTACTGTTTGGCTGCCTGTTGCATGGATTTTCGAACCAGCCATTGGCATTTTTGGGTTCCTTCTGCACGACTCTGAGCAATATATTTTACTCTATTTCCATCTCTTGTTTGCCTGCAACTAATAAACTTATTCGTTGGGCAGCTCTGTTCTTACGCTTGTCATTTTCATGAAAATCTCATGACTCACAGCCTTTTGGCTGACGTTATAGCAGTCAGCACTGAGCACCTGAGTGGGTGTCAGCTCTTTGTATAGCTACTAAATTATCAAAATATTGCAACGCTATAAAAGCGTACATTTTTATATGTCTTGTCTGTCCGTCCGTTTGTCCGCCTGTCTGTCATGTGTGCGTTGCTTAAAATGAGCGCTACATTAACGAATTACGAAAATACATTTAATCATCTTGGCTCTGGTTTTTTGTTTGTTTGCCGAACGCCAAAGGAAATTAAATCATCAAGAGCGTTAGAGTGACAAGATTTTGGATACGTACATATATTTATATATATGTACATAATACATATATATTTGCATGTATTATATTATACAAACATACAGATGCATATTTGCTCCTGTAGGAACTCACGTCCAGGGCACAAATGTGAACTTAAAGCTTTTCCTTTCAATTATCTTCTAACACTAAGTTCACACTAAGTTCGGTATATAATATGATGATGCCGACTTCTATGTTTTATTGTCTGGATTTGCATATATTTACACTATTTAGAACGATGTATTAAATATTTGAGTTGAAGCTGTCATTAAATTGACAATAATTTTTATTTTGGCACGGAAACCGAGTGAAAACCGACATTTCATTTCAGAAAAGTTCCTAATAAATTTTATTAGAAATGTGTTGCGGTTGTATAGTAATATGTGAGTGTGCCTTTGTGTGGGCGTGTCGGTGTGTGGGCGTGTCGGTGTGTGTGTGTGTCGGTGGTTATAGTTTTTGGGGCTTTTAGAGTGGCATGCAAGCTATGCAGAGCATTGGAATGACGACTGTTGATTGGTATTTTACGTGCTAATTTAATAAAAATTTTGATTGTCTCGAATTGCTTTTACAATTTTCAGCATTTCAGGGGTAATGGGTTTTTAGTTCTTATAGATATCTATATAAATATATATAAATATATGCAAACAGAACTCACCTTCTTCTTGTCCCGCATGGAGCCCTTGCCGCGTACCATTATCTTACAACCAGTCTCTTGTTCTAATTGTTTGGCTGTCATGCCGCGTGGTCCCAAAATGCGACCAACAAAGTTGAACTAAAATGAAAATGTATAAGAAATCACAGGAAATGAGCAACCAATTATAATAATATAAATAACAAATTAGCTGAAGTCTTAATGCCAAAAGTTGATTTCATGAAAATTTAAAACACATTAATACCAAAACGAGAAGGCTGACTCATGAACCAATTCATTCAATGCACAAAACATTCTTTCAAAGTCAAAATTATTATTTTCAATTTTAGAGTTGAACGCTGAGCAGAAAGAAAAAAAAAACACAAATCCGAGTGCACAAGCGGACAAAAACGTAATATGACCTAAGGCGACACGCCTGAATTTGGCACGATAAACCAATCAACCAGATACTCAGATTGCCAACTGCAGCAGCAATGTTAACCGGCGGCAACCGTCAAAGGCATTTGGCATACAATCAAGGAGGGCGACTTGGTGGGGAGCTGCCTGACAACAGGTCACACTGATAGCGCTGTGATGAGGCCCGGCTAGTTGAGCTCTAGCTAACAGCTGTGTAATTGATGAGCCAACGGCCAATTATCATATGCCTCATGCCGTCTCTGTGAACACGCCCTCAGGCGTAATTTGCTGCTCATAAATTAGACGATAAAATCATAGATTTATTAGGCTAACTCATAGTCGCATATCAAAACAATTTAACCTGAATTATATATACACCATATACATATATATATCTTGTAAATGGCGCAACGCTAGCCCAGAGGCGACCACCCACCAAATGTGGCGCAGCTTGGCTTTTGTTAACAAAAAGTAAAAAAGTCTATTCCAAACTGATGATGTGATGTGTTGTTGTTGTTGTTGTTGTGTTAACGATGATGTGAGTGGCAGCAGCAACTACAACAGCAACACTCGTTGTTGTCGGAATGTAAGAAAATTAATGTTTATCTATATATCTATATCTGTTTCGTTCGCAGTTGCTGTTTGGTTAGCCCGCATCTGTTTCAACTGCTGCAGGCGACTATTGAGATCGAATCAATTGAAAATTGCTGCAGAGGCATAAATGCAGTTAGTTGCCTAATGGCAGCTCACAAATTTTAATTAAGAATTTTAAAGCGCGTAATGAAACGGTTTCGTATGTAGCCAGATTCAGGACAAGCGCTGCTTGCAACTTGAATGGCTACGCAGAGTGAATTTGCCATGAAAAGTATCGCTTATACGGGAAAATAATATTTACATTTGCAATTGTTGGTCTTTGGCAGTGGGTTATTAATTAAAAGTGGCGTCGAGCTCAACGTTTACACAAGACGGGGACGCTTAAAGAAAAAAAAACGAATCAATAAGCCGAATAAATATGGTTGTATAAATAAATTATAAATCGTTTTCTCTTTAATTTATTTTTGAAGGGCTATTGAAGGAAGTGCAGTGGCAATTATGCGGCTCAAGTGGAAAGCGTGCCGTAAAAGCAGCAGCAGCAACAACGACAGCAATAACAACGATAAAAAGTAAACAATATTTGTTGGTATTGTTTACAGACAGAGCACAGCACTTGAGCAAAATATGCTGTTAACAGACAAAGACGAGGCACGTGATAGGAAAGAACAGGAGCTGCAAGTGAAGTGAAGCAGCTAAAAATGTGGGCATGCGAGCTCTGGCTTATATAACAAGATTGTGAGCAGCGATAAGAACGCATTCATTGTGTACTATATAACAGTATATACGTATATATGTACATATTGATACAGAAAATAAAAAAAGGTACCAACAATTGATAAGCCAGCAGCAGTAGCGGCCATAAAATGCTTTTTATAGAATGCCCTGAAATCCTCAAAGAAGAAAAGATGCACCCAAATTAAAAATTGATGTTAAAACTTGGTATGAAAATCGGCTGCCATGGTTGCCAATGTAATGGACAATTGGTCAAAAGCTGCTTAACAACACGTGGACACATTTCATTTCAGTCAAGGAGTCGCTGACAAAAAAAAATACATAATAGTTTATTATGCAATACAGTAGGCTTTCCGCTTGTGTATCAAAGCAGTTGTATCTCAGGTGGCAATGGCCGCAAAATTTGTAAATAGTTTTTAACAGCAAAACATCTTTTCATATTAGCCGACAGTTAACTAGAAAAATGCAAAACTAGGCAACAGTCGGCGCAGATCAAATAGATTACAAATCTGTATAAGTACATTTAAACAAGCATACAATCTATAAGTCTTCTGTATGGGTGTGTAAAAGTTTGTGTGTGTGTGTGTGTATTTAGTTATGAGCGAGTGTAACAGAAAAATTGTGTCTGTATTCAGCGGAAAAATAAATCAATGTTTGACATCTAACAAAAAAAAGTACAAACTAACTGGCAGTTGCTGTTGTTATTTTTTTCTAATGCGTTTGTGTACTTATTAAATAACTCAAAAATCGAAATGAGCATCTGAGTTGCACGTAATTAGCATTTTATGTTCATGACCAATTCGCTGCAGTTTTCAGATTAATTGCCACTTTATTTACGACATACACAATACATAGTGTGCAAAATGTTGAGACAAATGAGTTACACTTAGTTGCTTTTGTTGTTTTTGCTGAAAACAATTTAACATAAATATTCCAGCAGTTAGTAATGTCCGCTAATGGACACCAGTTTCGAAGGCCCCTCTAGCAGCTGTTAACGTCGCATGCATTTTAGTAAACTATGCTACGCAGTTAACAGTTGTGAAATCTGCTAAGTTGCTCAACTGATGTAATCATTAGTTGCAACTAGTTCTCAAGTTCAAAATATTAAATAACATAAAAACTTAAAGAACATGCTAAAAGTATAAACTAACTCAAAATATAATACAATTATAAATTTGGATATAAGTTTTTCCAGAAAAATACATTTTAAATGATAAAAATGGAAAATAATATTTAAAATTAAAACTGAGATCACATCTAACAGTTATATACATTAATGATCTCATGAAATTTTCTTTTTATAAATACAATTTTCTGTATTCCTTGTTTACAGTTCTTTATAAAATTAATATATTTTCCATTTTTAATTGGGTAATTGTTCGACAACTTTTGAATCAAAACGTCTGTTTATTTTTAAACATATTACATTTATTTATACATTCATCACATACTAAGTTGTAACCAATATGTGACTTTTGAAAAGACAACAACTGAAAAGAGCTCTTGTTCAAATTTAGCTTATATGAGCAGCTGTTTAGGTGTCATATAAGTTACATCTTTTATCTAACCTCTTATCTGTACTTATGTAAATTGAAAACATAAATATCTAAATGCCCGTTGGGTCAAAGCGCTAACATGTAAGCTACTCACGCCACGCCACGGGGCGTATGAACATTTTGTTGACAAGCAAGCTGCACAGAATGAGATGAGCATTGACAGACAGATAGAGAGAAAGAGTGCATTTACAATGGACACTGGCTGCGGGGTAGTAGCTTGAGCATCAGCTATGCGCGCTGATAGCTGCACAGTAATTAATTGTAAACTGTTAAATGGCATTGTTGTTGTGTCAGTTTCTGCAACAGATGTTGAGTTTAATTAAGTTGTATTTATGTTTTGGACACAGCAACAATGGCTGCAACAACGACAGCGACAACAAGCAGCTACAATTAAGCGCATTAAGAGGCTGTATTTGTGGTCTTGCAGTATTCGATGCGTTGCAATCGATCTTCTCCCCTAAGCCCCCTACCATCATGTTTGCTTGGCCAGTGTTGACAAATTGCTGTCTATTTACATGGCACTCGTTGTTGCCGGTTGTCAGCCGCCTGACAAATCATTATTTACATTGTTAAATATGGTAGAAATTATTTACTGCTATTATTTTTCATGAAACGTTTCGGCTAATGCTGCCTGCCTGCTGCGTCAGAGTCAGTGGGCTAAATTTATGGCCAATGACGAGGCTACACAAAACATGCACATATATGCATTATATATATATATATAGATATATAAAGGTATATGAATGGACAATAAACATTGTGCAAACTTGTTGCATTTTCTTGTGTGTCTGGACGATTTGAAACGCAATTTGTCTTGCTTATAACCATTTGGCTTTGGTCATACGCAAGAAAAATGTCAGAAATGTTGTGCGATTTTCATGTTTGGCTATCGAGCTAGAAATATTGCAATTAAATGAAATGATTTATCGAGATGCTGAAACACACCCGCGCACAGCCAAAGCTAACACAAAAAAATCTTCAGCTGGTCGAAGACAAAAATAGACTGTCGAAATGCACAGAACACCTGAAATATCAAACACAAAATAGTATAAAAAAAAAAATAAAACAAAATTCTACATATTTTAGATGTACATATATATACAGATACATCTATAAAACCTATGCCCTGTGGTCGTAAATCTCAACCGAGCTGTGCCAAATTAGATTTGGAAAGCAAAAGAACAGCATTTTAACAGCATCCGAAACAGCATCATCAAAAGCAACTTTGACTCAGTTTTTGCTCTGTTTCAGCATTATATTATGTTCGTTTCTTAATTTATGACTTAACTCATTCATATTCATTTAGCTTTGCTCTTTGGAGGAGCAAAATATCTGACATAAAAACTAACTTTATGCTAATGCATATATGCTGCTGCTACTACTTGACTAACAGTTAAGGCTTATGCAACGCAGTCGTAGAAATTAATTAACTGGAAGATGCTGATGACAAATACATCAGCTTGTTTTTATTAAATTTTGTATGCCCAGTAATGAAGTAGATTTAAGTTAATTAATGAAGCTAAGAGAAAAATGTTGTCCATGCATGTTCACACTTTAAAAGTTAAAATACAATTACAACTGATATTTGATCGACTTTAAACTAAAATAAAACCTTACTTTCTATAGTTTTTCTTTATCAAATTATAGGGTACCGCTTAGTCACAACTCCTTGAACTATTTTTGTACTGGTTTGCTCTGCAGTTAGAACTTTCCAAAAACTTAAGCGTGGCTGGCTAATTAGAAGCTTTAAACAAGCTAAATTTGCATATCGAGCGGACCAAACCAATTAATACTTAAATAAAATAAAAGTTTTTTTTAAATACACTAAATTAAACATTGTTTACTTTTCTTTAATCAAATTGCTAGTTTTATATGCGAAGCGCAAATATTTAGACAGCAGTGCAGCAAGTGCTTTCACTTTGTTTCCAATGCAGTTGAATTTATGCATTTATGGAGAGCACCAACTCTGCTATCATACAGAGAGAGTGAAAAAGAGAGGCAGAGAAAGAGATTTTCAGAGAGTGGCAGACATATTCATTAATTGTGTCATGCAATGAAATAAATTCACTTAGGTCTCGGTTCACGATGCTGTCAGCCATAAAGAAGCCAAACTACGCCCAAACATTTTACACAATAAAAACAAAATGAAACAATACAACAGAAATAGGGAGAAACAGCATTTGAAATTGCATAAAATTAAATCAAATTCTAATTTGCCATGGCGTTAGGCTAGGCGGCTACACAAAACGCCTACGACGACGACATCAAGCGACTTCCTAAAACGCTTCACTGATTTTGTCTAACCCATTTAAAGTACATATGTATATATGTGTGTGTATGTGTTGGGGGGAAGGGAGGCATTACAATGGGGGTAACAGTGCTGCAGCAACTGATACGCATTTTGCATTTGGCGAGTCTTAAGGCAAGCCCCAAGCTGTGGCAATTGCCAAGGCTTGGACAACTTAACAGCCGACTGATTCCATCAGCTGTCTAAAGGTGTGTTACACTGTGTGTGTGGCAGTGTGTGTGTGCTTGAGTGTTGCCTAACCGCCCATTTGTTGCAGCAGCAAGCAGCAGCGTCTCGTATTCTTTATACGCTGTTAGAGGGCGCACCTTAAAGCGATTTCCGGTGTACCAGTTGCTCATTGGAGCTCATTGAGCAGGCCGTGCTGTCAATTCTAATTAGCGGAAGCGCTTCAAATGTGCTTCGATTCATAAATTAGATCATCGCTGATCGTACGTCGAACTATATATACATTTATGTACTTACATCTGGATGCTCACGCACTGGCACATAAACCTTCTCATTCAGCGTAACCATAGCGCCCTCGGGCTCGGGCAGGGTAAGTGGCTCCTTTTTAACGCCATTAATCTGGAATAGGGAGGCGCGCACGCGTGCAATTTCTGTAAAAATAATAAAGATAATGTTAATAAATGATAATAATAACCACATAATTAATATGAAAAATCTCCGAATAAACAATTGTCTATACTGCTGTCAATGTCAAAATGTTTGCATTGGTTGGAAAGCATAACAATAGATCAAATATGTTATGCGACTTAATAATAATTAATAATAAGACATTAAAAAAAAAATAATAATAAAAAAAAATAAAGTGAGCAAACAAACTATGTGCAATGCTGCTGTCAATGTAAAAACATATGTATTTTAATTGACGCATAGTTTAACTCGCCGCTAATCATTCTACTCGGTCATTAGAGCAATTTGTCATTTAGTTTATTGCGCGTATTAAATTACGCTTAATTTGACTTTTAGTTATACATATTTTGAGCAGAGTAACCAACAAAAATTATACCAGCATACGCCATTAACGGCGTGTGAATGTTTACTTTATATTAATGCCGCTAATTTATTAGATGCAAAATACTCGACATACCCTTCCCCGCCACACCAGTCACACGTCGACGAACCACTTCAGCGATTTTGCCACCTAGTGAAATCATTTGGTTTATATATAAACGAATTATGGCATGCATTTGCCTTTCAAATTACAGCGACTATAAAGCTGCGATGAGCTGCATGGGGCGGTGCTGTGTGTGGGCCATGTAAAATGCAATGCCAAATTGCGCATACGCCTCGGTGTGCGCCATAATTCACACATTTGGCGTTTGGGCTACCGCGGCGACCAACTGTGCCAGTTGACAGCGCCTTTACAATTGATATGATCAACATTTTGTTGTTTTATTGTTTACCATTGGATAAGCGCAGTTGCATTGTCTAACTTTGGCATGTGCCCCATGCAGCCCGTCTAGCTGGCTCATTCAATGGCCAACAATTTGTCACCAGAATGATAGGACTATTGATATATGCATATTTATACATATATCTTTGGGTGTGTGCTAGGCACAAGTCATACGGCATGAGTTAAGAAACAGCCACTGTTCATTTAGTCAGGAGGCTATGTCATCAATTTGATGCATGAGTTGGCTGGCAAACTTATTAATCGCATTTCTTGTTATGGCAATGCAATACTTATAGTGCCTTCTATGTAGTTATTTATTGTTATAAGACTCGTATTTCTAGCGGACATCATTTTAATTTCCACGAAATGGGAAATTGAAACGTACATTTTGTGAGTCCATTTCGTTAACATTTTCTTTAAAATAGATTTCATTCAAATTCTTGACTTGCTCGACTTTCCACCCGCATTTTCTCAGAATTCATTTTGTTAGGAAGACAATGTAAAAGTTGTTAAGTGAATGTGTTTGTACACGTCTAGACATAAGCTAAGAATCTGCATAAAATAACTAAAAATATTATTTTAATAAACGCTTTATCCAAATTTCTTTGTAAAATTTAATTTACATTACAATGTATATTTTGCACTTTAAAGTTTAACTTTTAGCTTTTACCAAAGACTGCTCTACCGATTGCTTTAAACTTTTTGCCTCACTCTTGTCCCTTGTGGCCTCGGTCCCACTGGCTGGCAAATGTGAAATCCCTGCCAAATGCAAAATCGCAATGCATAAAATTTGACAATTTATTGACGCTCCGCTGCTGCTCATAAAGTGCAGCATAGCTAGAAAAATACACAAATCTATATTTAAAATGTTGCAAAATGTGGCAACCGAGCGCAGAAGACGCTGCCAGCGGCTACCAGAAGGGCATCATAAAGCAGTCAAATTATGTACGGAAAGTGTTAGAAAGGCAGCTCCCGTCTATTTTTGTACAAGCCCAGCCGCCCAGCGCCCAGCAGTAGCAAAAACTTTACGAGCCAACTCAAAAGTCAACACATCTCAACATTTTTTGGCACATCCCTTCCAAACGACGCAGTGCAGAGAGCACTCATGAGTTTTGATGACTTTTGCCCATTTTTATAGAGACTAGCTCGAGATTTTAAATAGTTTTAAAAGCTAATAGCGAAATAACACACTTAAAACCGTGTGCGGGTGTTGGCAATAAAAAAAATTAAAATTTAAGCAAAAAAATCATAATAATAATACTTAAATGTTGTGTTGCCCACACAAGCAAGCGTCAAGTTCTTTTTGCAAAAACAAAGTTCTTGGTGCCAAATTTGGATTTGGCGCTGTGTGTGTGCCATATATAGATATTCGATTAGATTTGAATTTCCAAGATAGAAATAGAGTCATAAGCATACACATGTAAATTATGACTAAAACTTGACTTGCATTAAGAGTGGCGGCATTTGAATGAATGAGCGATACACATTCAAAAAGCAACTACCTTATAAGCACTAGAGACCGAGAACTTGTTAATGAATAAAAAAGATCTTTCATTGATAATTATTAGATTGGCATAGCAGCTCGACACCTACACATAAACGAGGTGCACAACCTGCTCGCCAACTCAGCCAATGCCCTTAAATGGTCAGTTGGCAACGGACACGGGATTTAATTATAGACGCAGTCAGTATACTACACAGATATGTAAATGTGAAGAGAGAGAGAGCGAGAGCGAGGGAGAGCGAAAGACAGACATAAAAGGCAAGTTATTAATTAAGCCGCCTGCGCATATGGCTTTAGTCAGGCTTAATTGTTGTAATTTATCTAAATGCTGCTATCAATTTGGTCTGTGAGTGACTAATCCGATTCTATGATAATAACAACTGACCCTCGGGCAGCCGAGCAACCATTGGCTTCGTCATATGCAAATGCAAATGCAGTTCTATGCAAATTTGGCGCGGCTTATTCATCTAATTTGCCTTTAATATTCGTGTGCCGCACATCAGTCACGTTGTCTGTCCGGCGGACCGTCTGTCAGTTTGACATTTGACCGATTAAAATTGACAGCTGTCATGATTGCGTTTATGCTTGAAAAGATCTCAAGCGCAGATTTCATGATTGCATTTGTGTCCAAAGAATTTGCAGTTGCGTGCGGCCCCCAGAAAATGCCGACTAAATGAAAAGCTTTTCGCCGGCGTTGCCCTTAATTTGCTTTTGAACATCTATTAAAATCAACGCACACAAAAACAAATTTATGTGCTCACATTTTGCTTGCTTATTGCGACAAATTCCATGCTGTATTCAATATTTCAGTTTTCACTCGCATCTCTTAATGAGTTCTTTGGCCGAATCTTAATGTTCTTGGACAGCTAGAACGAGCCATGTCTTGTTATTTATTTTGCTTGATGGTTTTTCTTGTTTTTCGCTAGCAGAAAACAACATTTTCTTGTTCGTGTTTTTGTTGATCAACTGCGCTGTAAAGCAAATGAAATTATACTATGTGCAATTTTTTAAAAGTCCCAAGAGATTTTCCACTTTGCTGCTTTGGCTGCTTTTCTGTGGAAATTCACGTATATTTTCGTCGCTTATAAATTATTTATGCGTGCAAAGCAAAGGCGTTGCTTAGACGAACATAAAGTTCAATTAAATTAAATGTCAAGATGAAAACTTTTAAAGTCATCGTTTTTAAGTGAAAATACTTAAATTGATAAGAATTGATAGAGAAAATGCTCATGTGTAATCTATATTTAGTTTATTTTTATTATAGCTATTATTATACGTATTCTTTATACATTTGTTTGCATTTGATTAATATGAAAACACGATTGTTGCTTCCACATAACCACAGACAACCTTGTTCACGCCAAAATCTAATCCCAGCTTGTCAATCTTATAAGATATGCCAAACAGGCAGGCAGGCAGACAGGTAAACAGGTAATCAGGCAGGTAGGCAGTTAGGCCAGTTGACACCTAAACCAAATTAATACCAAGCTCAGCTCATAGCTTGGCAACTCTGCGGGTAGATCAGCTGATTGATTGTTTTTGGTGGAGCGCAGTAATTTGCATTGGCTCACGACTTGCGAGTTTAAGTGCGCTACATAAGTATCTAAGTATCTGGCAGCTAATTTATGAATGCAAGAGCATTCATGCCACGAATTAGATGATTCGCGCTGTGTGTTCCCACTGCTTAGCTCAATGTGGGTGTTGCCAGCGTATTTTGGCCTTAACAATGCCAAAAGCTGATCGTGTGGGTGACAAGCCGACTTTTAACAAATTGTCACAGCAATGACAAACGCCTCGTAATGGCGAAAAAAACAATATACAAATAAAAATAAATGCTTAAAGCTTGGCTTGAATGTTGGCGGCTGTGTTCCACAGCCACTGCAATTAAGCCGTTCGCCTCCGGCCATAAACCAACTGCAAGCACATTCGGCATGAACTCCACAAATGCCTTGGCCGGCCTTGAGAATTTGCAAACAAAATCACTTTGCGCAAAACAAAAACACGCACACGCACGCACACATACTTACACACACACACAAATATCGCATATTTTTGTATGTGTATTCAAGTAATTTCATATATTTGCTTTTTGTATTTTGCATACTTATTTTGTGCACATTTCTTGGCCTGCGGTTAGCCAGTTCCATTGATATGAATGGTGGACAACAACAACAGAAACAAGAATATTTGTAGAATTAAATATGTTATATATTATAATATAAAGTATGTGTATGTCTGCATTATTTTTGGTTGCTTTTCTTTACTAAATTTTGTTTAATACTGTATAATTTGCCACTTGATTTTTTTTAGTGTATTTTCGTATCGTTAGCCTGTCGTTAACATGTTGGTTCACACGCCTCAACAACTTTGCCGCTGCGATAATATTTGGTTGTTTTTTTGTGTTATAAAATTAACATTATTATTTCTATCAACACAGGCTATAATAAAGACATGCGTAAAAGTTGTTGGAATTTTAAAATTGCATATTAAAAATATGCAAGTGCCGGCGTCCATTTTTTCAACACTTTTATTGACACAGGTTGAAACAAAAAAAAAAATGTTTTAGTCGAGATTACCAGACAAGAAGATACCCCGTAGTCAGAAAAGATGTTGTGAAGTTTTCTGTAAGTACGCATCTGCAATAGCAAGCATATTTAAAGGGATAGATATATTCTCTTCAGTTAACTTTTTTAAAC